TGATTCCTACATCAACATGTTAGGTCAATATTTCTCATGTCTTAATACTTGTACCACTAGCATGTGCATTTAGTGAATGCATATAGAATACTAAAGTATTAGTGAGGCACTAAGCTCGTAAGCTTAGCGTTCGGAATGTGTTTCTACACTTAGGTTCATAGGAGACCATCTGAGTAGCATTATCATCGTCAGTAGTTCCAGCACAGTCGAGGCACCAGAGTACGACTTGATTTAGTTTAGAGGGCATGTACCATTGTAAACCCTATTTATGTCAGATGTAACTCTATTTGATTTTAAACTCAGTATATTTATTTTTTATGATTTGGGAGCTCCCATGATTTGTAAACTTATACTTACCACATTTTATTCTTACTTCGGTGGTCCCGTGTGACATCATGATCCAATGATCTTCGAGTAATATTGGATTAGGGTGTTATGAGATCGAGTAGAGGAGGGAGCTTAGCTTAGAATCATTTATCGAGGACTACTTACTACTATCGGTAATGACATTCTACAATTATTTGGATTTTCTAGTTGGCATGTATACGTGTAACAAATTTTAGTAATATTTTATATGACTAGATTTAATTGGATTAGAAATGCGATGATATGTCTAAATGTTTAAATGGTTTATAATAATTTATATGTCTGAATGTTAATAAGTATTATAGGGTTATGAACATTTAATACATTATTGAACTGCCATATTACTGCCTGAAATCAAACTTGATTTGAACGTTAAAATATTAAATTTTGAATTTACGCGATTAAATATTTTTCATGATTTACGTTAAAACTAATGATTTTAAAAGAAAAACAATTTTATCGATTTTCTAATAAGAAATGTTTTAAATGTTTGATGTGACATATATGAATAATATTTGACGACGAATACGGGAAATTGGTGTTACAAGGTGAAACTCAGAGAGCTACCACCCCTTAGAGGAAGCCTTCGAGTTTTCTACGAAGAGGTTTCGCATGAAGGATTGTTATGGGATATTGGAAAGCTAGCTTGGATTCATCGGAAAAGGTGTTGTTCTTGAAGTAAGAAGACATGAAGAAGAAGCCATGGGATCATGTGAGAAAAGTGGCGGAGTTTTTGGGAGTGTTGTTCTCTATGAAGGAAGAAAAGAAAGAGATGGTGGAAGAACTAGTGAAGCTATGTAGTTTTGAGAATATGAGCAATCAGGATGAGAACGAAAGGGACACCAGAAACTGAGAATATCCTGTTAGCAATGCTGATTTCTTCAAGAAAGGTGAAATTGGAGATTGTCACCTTAAATGGTGTAGGCATTGAATCAAATTACAAACCAAAAGTTTCAAGGCACTGGCCTTAGCTTTAATTGACTCCACGATATTCAATTGGGATGGTGATGTTTGTGATGGTAGTAATATTTTTAAATAATGGATACAATATAATACCGTGATGATTTTTAAAGATTTTTATAATTTGTTTGTTGCGTTGTGTTGTTATCATAATTCAAGATCAGCAAACAGAAGTATTATAATAATTCTCTATTTTTTATTTTTATTATCTGATTATATTGATTAATAAGTTTATTTTTAAATTGTTATTGAATATGATGATATCATATCTATAATTTTATTTTTTAATTAAGTTATATAATTTTTATTTTAGGATTTGTTATTGAACATGATTTTAATTTTAATTTAATAAATTAATTAATCTTTCAATGAAAAGGTGACACATGTTAATGTATGATTATTTAATAAACATTGAAATTTATGGAGAATTGAACTTGAGACCCTTAGTTAGAAGAAGAGCGCCCAAGCCACTAGGTCAAATGTTTCATTTAGTTAAATGTTGCAACAAACTTTATGTATCTTATATTATAGTTAATAATAGAAAATAAAAAAATAAAATCATTCAAACAAGGATTCCAATATTTTTCAAACTAAATTAAATAAATATAATATTTTAATTAAATAGATTAAATATATTATAAATCGTATTAATATAAGATTTATAATTAAAATAAATTTATTGTTATTTTATATTTTTAAACTAAATTCAATATTTTTCATACTTAATTTTATAATTTTATATTTATTTTAAAATATTAAATTTAATTTAAAAATATAAAAATATTAAATTTAGTATGAAAAATATTAAATTAAATTTAATAATATTAAATATTAAATTTAATTATAAATATAAAAATAATAAACTTATTTTTAATTTTAAACCTTGTATTATATACGATTTATAATATATATATATAAGGGTAAACTACACAAGATATCACTAAACTTGGTTTGTTGACTCGTTTATATCGCTGAACTTTTAATTTTGTCAATCATAGCACTAAGCTTTAGTTGTACATTCAATTACGCTACTTGTTGTTAAGTCGCTAACGAAACAATGACATGACTAACTGTTACTGACGTGGCATGTCACACCAAAACGATGTCGTTTTCGTGCAGTTATTCTTATGCCTAAAATGATGTCATTTCAGACATTGAACTTTATGTGTATTGATTATGCCACTAAACTTTTAAACGGATTTCATTTTACCATTGCATTTTCTGACCTCCATCGACAACCAATCGTCTCTCATCATCGATCATCTTTCGCAACAAAATAGTACCAAAATATTTGTATTTGAATGCTCATTCTTCTTATATGATTAGTTTCTCATGAAAGCCACTCAAAATCGGTGAAATTAAACACAAAAAATCTATCATTTTTTAGATGTTTTGAGACTTATTAGATTTATGGCATTTGGGGTGTTTGTTAAAAAATTGAATGATGAAAAATATTTTTTCGAGAAGATGAACACATACCTTAAAATTAGCATCATCGGTCAATCATTGAAAGAGATCGGAGTATTAATATATTGAACATTTAAATAGATTTTTGTGGATTTCATGGAAAATTAATCCTAGGAGAAGAAAGAGGAGTGAAATACGAACATTTTGATATCAGTCTTACCGCAACATGTGACAGGTGAACAGCGATGCTTAGCTGTCGACGACGATTAAAAAGTGTAATGGTAAAAAAATTTGTTTAAAAGTTCAATGGCAAAATCGATACACCCTAAATACAATGTCATTTTGCGTGACATGACACACCAACAACTGTTAGTCATGTCATCGTCTCATTAGTGACTTAACAACAGAGTGACATAATTGAATATAAAATTAAAGTTCAATGCTATTTATAATTGGTACAATTGAAAGTTCGGTGCTATAAACAAGTAAACGGGTAAAGTTAATAGTATCTGACATAATTTACCCTATATATAATATTTTAATTATAAAAATATTGTATTTGTTTAATTGATTTAAGTTCTTTTATATTTTATAATTGATCTAAGTTATAATCCTCAATGATTTTATTTCTTTATTTTTCTATCATTAACAATAGTATAAGATAAATAAAGTTTATTGTAATATTTAACTAAATGGAACATTTGGCCCATTGGCTTGGTGCTCTACTTCTAACCAAGGCTCCTAAGTTCAATCCTAAAAATTTGTATATTGTCTTTTCTCTATTAAATTAAATTTAAAATTAAAATTAAATACATAAAAAGTATAATTATATTAATTTATTAATTGTCCTAAATACTTGCATTAAATTAATAGGTGATCATTCAAGTACTTTATGCGGTAATAAAAGAAAGTTCATTTCTTTAGAAAAAAAAAAGTGTGGTTTAGATATTGTTGGCAATGAGGATGCGATAGGATGTAGTTAAGGCTACAAGTGGGTAAAATTCGAATCGAAAAATCAAATTTTTTTTAATTTCGAATTATTTGAGTTGAGTAATTTGAATTAACTCGAATTATCAATTCGGTTTTCGAGTTCGAGTCAAGTTGAAATTTTAAAATTTCGAGTTACTTGAAAAATCAAAAATTTGAATAAATATTTTGGTAGATTTACGATTTAGTCCATGATGATTATTTCTTCAATTCCTCTTTCATTTTAAGTCTATTTTTATCAAATTTGAACCATATGTTCCTAAACCATCGTATAATACATATGTAGTTTCAATTCCTCTCTTTGATAACAAATTTTTATTTTTCAATTTAGTCCTTCAATTTTTTATAATTTCCTTATTTCTCCAATTCATCCTTTATTTTAAGTTTATTTTTTACCAAATTTGAACCACATCCTCATATACCGCAATAGAATACCTATGTAACTTCAATTCATACTTTCTCTTATTAAAAATGTACTCTCTGTCTTTTTATTTGGTCCCTTAACTTTGCATTTTACTCAAATTGATATTTTACCTACAATTGTTTGCAAATTCTTTCTTTTCATCAATTCATTGACTCTTTTATACTCTCATCAATATTTTACCCTCAAAATATTTTCTTTAAAATATAATATTATGAATATATTTCATAATTTTAGATTACGTTTGATATATTAAATGATATTATAATATGAATATATATATATATATTACATGGTTAGAGAGAGTCAGAATTGAAATAATTCCTTACCATAATACTATAAATAATTATAATAGAACTAATATAAAAATTCGAATAACTCGACTCGAATTTCTTAAATTCGAATAACTCGACTCGAAGAAATTTAAAGTTAAGTTCGCGTTGTAAAATACTACTTGTCAACGCAAATAATTCAAAATAAATTTTACTCGAGTCGATCGAATGGTCACCCGTAGTTAAGCTCCAAGGCAGCAGTCCGATTTAATGAAGCAGAATGATCAAACGGTAGGAATCAGCATGCAAAGTGCATGTTGGACAAATGTTGAGATTTTACAGCACTTACGTTTGCTTTTCACTGTAATCAGGTACAGAGGTTTAAATGGCACTGCACTCACTCATTTCAAAATCCAACCCCTCTTCTCGCATTTAATCTGTTAATATTTACTATATGCATTGAAAATCTGAATACACTGTTTCCACGGCACGACCAACAAGATCACTGCTTTCATTATTCAATTCAATGGATATTTTATCCCCTCTATATAAACCACAATGGACACGAAAGTTAGCAGTGAACAGTCATGGTTCGTAAAAACAGTGGAAGCTCGCTGTTTTCCACCCTCGTGGTGGTTCTGGTTCTGCTCGTCCAGAGCGACGCAGCTCGCCCTCGTCAGCTTGGGACGACGCCACCAACGGAGGATCGCGTGGCGGCGGATATGGTGGTGGTGGGGAAGGAACAGGAAGCTAAGAGTGACTATAGGGAGATGAAGAACTTGCCACCTTTTCCCTTTCCCTTCCCGGACATGCCATTTACGCCACCGCTTCAGCTGCCGCCGTTGCCGTTTACGCCGCCCTTTGTAGTTCCAAACGGTCCTCCGTTTGCCGGGTTTCCTTTACCGCCTTTCCCATTTCCTCCCGTCCCTTTCCTCTCGCCTCCTCCTCTCTAGACACCCTAGTTTTATAATGGTATTATCTCTCTGATTTTAGTTAAAGTGTGTAGCTTCTTCATGCTGTTTGGCATTGTGTAAGTGTTCCTCTGCAGAGAAATTTAATAATAAATTAAGGGTTTGTCCTCTCTTTTTTTAAGATGATATGAGAATGAGACCAGTGTTTCTTTTTTTATGACCAGATGGATTCAAAACAATTACTAACATTTACTTAACAATAATTCCTTTTTTCTATTTCATTTTCATTTTAAATAATGTTTAAATTCATTATAAATTTATTTCCGTTTAGAATTTATCTACAATGCATATACATTTTACAAATTTCTTTTTAAAACAGAAAAAAATCAAGTTCCTAATAAATAAAATATGTCATATAAAAAAATGTGACTATATACGATATATTAGATTAAATGAAAATTTTGGTAAAATTATAACAAATTGATTTTTTTCTTTTAGGTTTATCTAAAATAATTTATATAAAAATTAATTAATTCTGGAGAAAACTATACTTTTACCTAATTATTAATTTTAATTTTATTCTATTTTAATCATTTAATTATTTATTTAAAAAATTAACATTATATTTTAGTTAAATTTATTTTGATAATCTTTCTAACATAATACATGTTAGGCGTGATATTTCTATTATTATTTTTCAAAAACTAATTGACATGATATATTTTATTAGTATTTTTTTAATGATAATGCAGTTATTATTATTTTTAATTTTGTATAATCAAAATGAAATTAAAATTAAATATTTAATATATTTTAGAAAAATAATTTAATCGTCAAAATAAAACAAAAGTATAAAACATGAAGTTTACCCTTAATTATATACAACATTCATTTTAGGTCATTGTGCGGTCCCTCTTCTATTTATTTAGACGTAATTCAAATGGTCAAAAATATTGTGCCGTGGTTCGCTCATGTTTGTTTAGACATAATTAGACGTGGTAAACCCATCAGGGGTTATTTTATTAAGATTTAATTCGAGTCAGGTTTTGGTTGAGTTGAGTTATTTCTTGTTCGGTTTTTATTCGAATATATTATTGTCGAAAGTCATTTTCGTCCGAGTTTACCTACTAATATAATTATATTATTATTATTATTAAATAATAATATTACAAGCCCATTTACAAGTCTGGAGGCCCAATTGATAACAAATCTCGGAAGCCCAATTACAACCAAAGCCCAGTACACACAGACTGATGGAAGGAGATTCGACCCAGCAGATGGAGGATCCCAACAACCCGAGTCAGACCTAGGACCTGTGGCAGGCCCAGAATCAATCCAGGCACAAATGACCCAACAAGCCCATTTCTGCTAGGGTTTCCCACACATCTCACTCCAGCCACCAACTCTCACAACCGTTGGATCTGGAGAAATCCAAAGGTCTAGATGGAGCTTCCAGAAACCCTAGGGTTCCATTATACCCTAGGGCTATTCCGGCCGTCGCCTCTAAGTGCTCCACTCCGATCCTGCCACGCTACCACCGCCTCATCAGAAGAATCCAGAAGTAGCAGGATAGCGCACACCTCATCGTCTCTAGGGTTAGTCACCACCATAGCTCTGGTGACTCACCGAAGCTTTATCATTATGAAGTACCTTGAGGGCCTATAAAAAGGCCATCATACCTGCAAAGAACAACAATGACAGACACATACAAAGAGCGAGGGCAACCAACCAAAACAAACAACGAAAGGAAATAAAGAGAATAGATCGAGAGAACTTACCCAACCGCCAGATCCTCCACGCATTTTCAGAAAGTCGAATCGTCGAAGGTATAATCTCATATCTAGGTCGATTGAGGAATTTTTAGGATAAACGGTTCTCGGTTTCGGTTTTAGGGTAAAAAGAGAGAGAAGCCAATAGAAAAAATGAGAGATTTTTGCCTTAAAGGTCGGTTTGAGGGCTATTTATACCTCCCCCGAAACTATGTCATTTTAGGGAGGGATCTCTGCATAATTTCAAGAATGGGAAAACCTCTTCCGCAATACATGTAATTTGTAATTCTTCCATTTTAGTCACTGAAATCAGGTTTCTATGTATTTTAATTCGGTCTTTGCATTTTATTTTATTTCTTTTAGTCATTAACCGTTTTTTATATATTATTTAGGGTAAATACCATATTTAGTCCTTTAGATTTTAATATTTTTATTTTAATCCCAATTAGTTAATTATGGTTAAATTACACTAATAGTACCTAGTCTTTTTTGATAATTCAAATCATGACCATAAGTATTTACTATTATTGCCTTAATTTTATATTTTATAATTTAATCATTATAATTTCTTATATGTATTTGGGTTATATTTTATACAATAAGCCCTAAAATATCTCCTTATCTGATTAGGAAAGTATTTAAAATGATTATTGGTATAAAATAGTACCCCTAATGTTTGTTGAAAGGATCAAAAATTAAATTAAATTCAAATTTGTAAATTTTACTGCAAAGACATTAAATTAATGAACAAAGGTACCAATTTTGGGCGTTGTGGGGGTGCTAATTCTTCTCCACACGTAACCGACTCTCGAACTCATTTTCTGGTAAGCAGACCCTTTTTGTGTTGTTTTAATAATATTTTTATAAATTTTATTAAAATAACCAAACGTTTTTTGTGACCAATCACACCTCGATAAATGATTGGTGGCGACTCCTCAAATTGTGTTTTATCTTATGCAAGAAGAAAAACACTTATTTTTCGAGTCGTGATTTAGAAAATAACGACACTTGTTTTCGCCAGGCAAATATCGTCTCGACAGCTTGACGACTCCGCTGGGACATTTATTTTAGAGAGTCAAGCCACCAGTTTATTCATTAATTATCTTTGCAATAAAATTATAAATTTGTTTTAATTTAGTCTTTTTTCCCCTTGATTATTTTAATAATCATTCTTTGTATAACTAGTTGTTCTAATTTGTTTGTTAATGTTTTCAGGTTTAATTGTATGTTTGTTAGGAATAAATTTATATGTTATACATTATTTTTTCCTTTCTTTCTCCTTTTCCTCTTACACTGTGCAATGCATTATCATGACATGAGCTAAAACCCCGCTCTATCCTATTTAATATGAATGAGAAACTACTCCCTCGTGTGGTTTTCACCTCCGTATGGGATAGTGGACCATTCCTTAAGCTCACACCTTATGTTCATCGTGTGGTTTTCACCTCCGTATGGACTTAAGGAAGTGTGTTCCTTCGAATTCAACTCAATCCAAAAGTCTGTGATGGACCATGATTGAGAGTTCGGCAGCCCAATGGGCACCAACAAGGACAATTCGATGACCTTTTTACCTTAGAGCCAAACCCAACATATAATAAACCTAGAACTTGAATCTAGTCAGAGCCTAACCCAAAAGAGTCTCGTAAGGTTAGCACATGAGGAAAAGCTTGTTGAGTCTTTTAATTTACGTAGTATGCGAACTAGAAATCATGCGGTTAGGTTTATTTTCCAAACAAAGCATGAACCTAGAAAGCATGAGGTTAGGATGTATATATAAATACCATGATGGATAAGATATTTTTTTCCATTAATTGGTACTAACAATTTTGTTTTTTTTCTTATCTATCTATTATGTAGGTACATTTTATTTTTGCTCTAACTTGTTTATATTAATTTCTTTTGTTTGCATTGCAAGATCATGACATGATTAGAAGGTATTGATTTGAGAGTGATCATCAAATAAAAGATTTTCATTATGGACAAAGGGTTTCATGATCAAGTAAACTATAACACAGCTACAGAATAACATCCTGAGGGAACTTCGAGGATAGAGGAGAGCTATGTACCCAAAGATCGTATGTCCGTTGAAGAGAAAAAGGAGATACGAGATATAAGAGGAAAAAATGTCAAATATGATGGATAGAATATCTATTTTGACTAAAGGAAAAGAGACTCGTGCACAAAAGAAGAGAGAGCTTAATGAACCTAATCCTGCAATCTCATATATATAAGGGACTTCTAATTTAACCAATTTGAGAAATTATGCACAGTCAACATTTGTATCAACAGTTTATCTGGAAACACCAAGGAAATGGTGACAACTGTAGAAATTTCCAGAGATAAAAAGAAATCCTATAATCAGAATTCATCGGTATTTAAGAGTCTTTTCCCAACGTCGAAAACTCAAGATCAATCTAAAACAAAATGTGGTTCTCATTTTAATAATATCCATATATCATATAAGGAGTTGTACGAGAAGCTACTAGAGGCTAGAGAGATGGCTCCACATTATGGGAAGCCTCGGCAACCTCCTTATCCAAATTGGTATGATGTTAATGTTCATTTTGAATATAATACCAGAAATCAAGGACATTCCATTGAGAACTGCACCACTTTCAAGCATCGAGTCAAACATCTTTTGGATTATGGAATTTTAGAGTTCAAGGTAAAGAATCAACCTAAGACGGTCACTGATTATCCTATCAAGTTGATACCAAATGTATTCAAAGGTAAGAGTAACAGTGTGGGCATTCATAAAGAAGAAGATATACTGAAGTATGAGGCTTAGATACATCATTTGAAAACTAAAAATGATAAACTGAGTGTAGAAATAGAAACCATGCGTGAGGATTTCCAAAAGATCAGTCAAGCCTTTCAAAATATTGGTTTAGGAAATACTCCAGAAGAGTGGATAACAGGGATCACTAAACTAAAATAGAATTGAAAGACACACAAAGATCGAGCCAATAAGTTTCTTATGATTTACGGGTTGCAGAAGAAAGACGCAACACAACTGTCATCAATTTGGAGAGATGTCAAGTCAAAAATTAAATGTTGAATAGGGTTATAATCAACATGGAAGATTCATACCATATCCATCAGTGTGAGATTGAAGCTGAACTAGAAGGTACTAGGGTTAGAAACAAGAAATTGATGAAATTTTTTTATGATTATGGGGATCTTATACAAGAACTTTTTGACCTCAAAGGTTCTCTTACAAGGGAAAATGAACAATATTGTCTACATATCCAAGAATTGACTTGTAAGATGAAA